CAAATGCCAAATTTAATTCCCTTCAAATTTCCCACTATACGGTATTGTGTTTAAACTGCAATATGTAATGCTATACTCTTTTAAAATGTTATTATTTGTTAAATGTTTTGGGGCAATTGCAACATTACAAACTAACCTATCCTTATCTTGTTATTATAGGATGGAGATACTGCTCTTATTGAAGCAGCAAGAGAAGGAAACTGTGATGTTGTAGAATTACTGCTGAAGAAAGGAGCTGATCCTTCACATTCAAACAATGTAAGTTATTTGGTTTTATATCATTAAATATTATTGTTATACGTACATGCTTATGTACCTACATGTACATGTACATGTATTTTATAATTTGAAATATTGTGAGTATCATGTACTGTAATTAATGCACCATAAATATTTTTTATTCAATTTTACAAGATTAAAATCAAATTCCCATCAAATATTTACAATTTTTGCTGCTCACATTATTTCATTGGTAGCTAAGGATTTATTACATGTAGACATATGTACCCATACACAGTGCCTTCTTAACTATCAGTTTTGAATGAGAAAACCATAACAGGTCCAATATGTGTAATTGTAACTAACAATCTTCCGTATTCTACTGCATATCAATAGTCAATACACTGAATAATTATAAATTTTTGTCTTCAGTTATTTTTGTAATTTTTGTAAAATTGAAAATTTTGAATCATACACTGTAAATAGCTGTATAATAACTCCACATATTGATTATAAAGTTACTATCATAAATATTTAATTTTGATTTTTCCAAAAATTTTACTAAAATTTTAGTTAGAGCACAAAAATATAGAAATACATGTACATATATAAGTTCTCTTCTATACTTTTAAAGCTATTGATTGGTTCACATGTTCATATATAAGGAACAGAGCTGAATGGAATATTAACAGCTACATGTACATGTACACACACTTAACATTATTTATGGTCTTATTTTTATAGTATGGAGAAACTGCTTTAGTTGCAGCAGCAAGTAGAGAATATTCTAATATTGTACAGTTATTAAGTGAAGAAGATGATCCAAATACTTCAGTTCATGTGAGTCAGCATTTTATCAACTTCACATTTCTATTTGTTTTTAGCCATTTTAGTTACAATGTACTTTAGCACTCCCACTTGTAAATGTACATTGGATATATTTAGTTTTAGTATATATACTGTATGATGTTTACAGATGGTGATGAATAAAATGGCTTATGTGATACTGGACCCAATAAGAACTCAGCAGTAGTAATAGTGATGGGAAATATTGAATACACAGTGGCTTCACTTCATGACAGTACCATATAACTTGAAGTATTGGCAGGGAAGGTGTGATAAACAACCACCAATATAAAATCTGTCATTTAGCTCATTCTAACCACATGCAGCCACTAAAATTATTGCCAATGTAAAATTTGTCAATTATAAATTTATTAGCAAATTGCCAAACACAACCCATCAATATTTCTGACTGTAGTTACTGTGTGGTATTTAACTTACTGTATGATTCATTGTAGAATAAGGAGTTATATGAAGCTGCTAAAAGAGGTGATTCTACTGGTGTCCAGTCTGCACTATCTCAAGGAGCTAATGTAAACTATCAGAATCCTGAAAAGGTAACTACTGCAGTATATGCATACATGTACATGTACAGCATGCT